GAAGGGTGAAAAAAAACTCCATACAAAAATTTAAAAATGATTGGATTAATTTTACAGGAGAAGAAAACCCTTCAATAAAAATAATGACAGAAAAATGCGGGCAGGACTGGCCTGAATGTGGCGGTATATAACAGATTATAATCGAACATCTTCAGGGCAGAAATAAATGTCAGCCTTGAGGGCTAGGTTTGCAGGTCGGACTGGACTGGCCTGCATGTGGTATTGTATACGGGATTCACAACTGACATCGTCTAGGCCGAATTGATACGCCGCATGAGACTATTCGCATCAAAGAGGTCAGACGAGAGGAACCCAGACGCGATCGGCCACAGTACGCTTCGGGCCCAGCCGAGACGTGGGGAAGGGCGGTACGACCAAACTACTAGTAGACGGCGAATACTGAGGGTCCCGCCGTGAGCGTCGACAGACCGCATGAGGTTAGAATGCGGGATATGATATCAAAAACCACGAAAATTGTCGCAATGGGGGAGGAGTGATAGCAGTGGATTTAGCAACCAAATCAAGACTGGGGTTTCTAATGATATAATTGGGGGTTACCACTTGAATCTACTACTAAATCCCAGGAGGACCCTTCTCGAAATCAAGAAGCTGAATGTTCGGGAATGAGACCGTTAACAGTGCCTTTATGCTTCCCGGTGTAAGGTGTTTGCGTAATTTCGACTTAAATACCAGTAACTTAGGTGATGACCTAATTTCTGTCGGAAGATTATTCCAAAGGAAGCAAAGAAGAGGGAGCGCTTAGACGTAGTGCAAAGAGGCGGCGGCGGAATCCACATGGAGGAATTCGCGTGGCATAAGACCGATCTCTCGGTGTGAGAGTGTCAATAAGCGGGAGACTGCAGCTAGATTTGATTCAAAAAAGGAAGCAACGGCCAGCTTCGAGTCCTCTAGCCCACAAAAACTTAATGTTCGCCAGCTGACATCTCTGAGTATAAGAAATACCGGACGAAGCTTGAGGGAACAGTTTCCGGGTGTAAACCCTCTGAACATTTTCGATTTTATTACGGTCGCAGGCGTTCATTAAACCGAAGAAAGGACAGCAGTATTCGAGGACTGGAAGAACAAACATTTGATAAAGTCGTAGCTTCATTTCCGGAAGGAAAAAATTATGCGATATGAATCCACATATCTGCGCGGCTTTGGCAGAGATTCTATCTGCATGAGGTGATAAAGCAAGCTTATTTGTATAACTTAGACCTAGGTCGTTTATGGTGAGGCATTCTGAGAGTGGGTTATTCTGAAAAATTATGGGACCAGGAAGTTTGGTAGGACCAAAAGACATGAAACTACACTTGGATGATGAAAACTCCATCTGCCATGTCGAACCCCATCTGCTTAAGCGTAGTAAATCGGCATTATTTTTTTCCACACAAACGTTTGCGGTGTCCTTAGAATATGAGTAAATACACTTTGGGTTATCGGCATAAGTAAAAATTTGCAAATTTCCCAGTTCAGTCGAAATATCATTGATGTACAGGAGGAAGAGTAGCGGACCCAGAACCGTGCCTTGAAGTACGCCACTCGTGATCGAGTGGGGTGTCGAGTAGCTATTACCGACCATGACTTTCTGATATCGGTTGGACAGATAGGACCTGATGAAGTGGAGTAGAGGCGGCCGGATGCCGAGAGCTTCCAATTTTATTAAAAGCCGTCTATGGGGCACCTTGTAAAATGCTTTGCTAAGATCAAAGTAAATAACTACCACTGACTGCCGCTCATTACGAAGAGAAGTGATTAGATTAAGAAAAGCCAAATGACATATTTCGCAGGATCGTTCAGGTAAAAATCCATGCTGACTAGAGCTCAGAAGCCGATTAGTTAGACAGAAGTCAAGAATTTCATTGAAAATAATCCTTTCAAGAAGCTTTGCTAGTCACGGCGTTTTGCGCACGCCCCGATAGTTAATAACATCGGACCAAGATCCTGACTTAAAGACGGGAATGGTAAATGACGTTTTCCATGTTTCAGGAAAGAATCCTTTTGAACTATAAACAGAGAATAAATGACTAAGAAATATGGGAAGGTCGGACGCTTGTTTAATAATCGAATTCGGAATCCCGTTCGTTCCTGAGCAGTGTGAGTCTTTCAAACGACTTGTGTTTCTTAATGAGATCTGAGAAGACATCGATTGTACTCAATGTCCTATCTGGACTTGATCGAACGAAAGGGTAGTAGAATTCGGGAGTGGTTTGCGTTGTTAATGGGGGACAAACTCATCGTTGCAGTGGAATTTGGTCTCGAGTAATAAAAGGATTATTTCCCCTGAGATATTAAGCCGAGCGCTCCAAGTGGGAGAAAATAAAGTCCACTTCTATCGGCGAAAAGAGTTTGACAAGAAATGGTGGATTCTTGCTCCTAGATGAAAGCCTTTTAGCTTCAGCGACCCTAAAGTTGAAACCGCATGAATGAAGGAAGTGAAAAGCGACATCGATTTGCTGTCTACTCTTAGGAACGTTTTTTAAAATAAAGTTGAAACTTCGTCCGTTTCTGTCTTCAGTCTCACTAGCAGCCAGACCAATGGGAGGCATGAGCTTCTCACACTGCTGAGACGTAAGAGTTGACAACTTTCCTTCAATAAGGGCACCAGGAACAGAAAAAATTGATCCCTAACGAGACATAAAATTGTTAATATTATCGAGCGCCCCTAGGCCTATTTTTTCACATGAACAATGAATTTCAAAAGCAGTTTATTTTCCTTCAGCTTTCGATGAAGGGTTGCCTGAGGTTTCATGTCGAGAAAAGCAAAACAAGATTCTACTCTAAAAATTTATAGGGATGATAACTGCCGAAACTTCGAGGATATATGGATGAGGCTATGTATGATGAAACGATTTCTGAAAGCTATCAATATTGGTGGACCAGAGAGCACAGTTGATACTAAGGAAATTTTACTCAGTAAGAGAATACTAACTTAAAAAACGGGTAATTGACAATTACATAGGTGGCAAAACAGAACTGTGAGTAAATTTGAATTGGATAATTAGGCTACGTAAGATAAAATAGAGAACAGTGTAGTTTCCTTACTAGTCAATAAACCGACGATAAAAGCGGTCAGTGGAGAAGGTTTATCGTTTAAAATATAATTTTATTCGAAGTTTTACGAGTAAAACCTTTTGTATATGCGGGTAAAACTTAGTAGGATTGAGGCTATGTTGGGTGAAAAACTATGACACTATATTTCTGCTTTATGATATATCGACGAAATACGACGGGGGGCGACGATGACTTATGACGAAAAATAGGAAATCTTGTCAGATCTACACTGGAAAACTGTAAAAGAGATTAAGAAATTGAATCCAAAAATATAACTTTCGTTAATCTTTTCAAAATCGGGCTGCGCGCGTTGACCTTCTTGCGATCCACTTGCGAGGGTGCACCCGTAGTAGGAACCCGCTTCCTGTAAGTAGGAATAGTGACTGTTTAAAGATACTGGACAGTACAAACAAAGCTGGGTATTTTTATCAGCCCTTCCAGTTTATTTTTACAGGGGAAGCAGTTTTCATTCCACCTACTACTGAGAGCATGGGAGATCTGATTATTGAAAATATTGTATTTCGAGAAGAAGCGGTTTTCGAAGAACTAAGCAGTTTGAAGGAATGCAAATCTCCCGGTCCGGGCGAGATTCCATCAAAGTTGCTATTTGAATTTGTTCGATAATTGGTCAAACCGCCATCCTTTCTGTGCCTGAAAACGTTCGATGCAGGAATTCTTCTTACAGACTGGAAAACAGCCCACCTTACACCGCTTTGCAGAGGGGGTAGTCATGCACTTAAGGTGAACTGCAGACCCTTCAGTCTGATATGGGTCTGTTACAAAGTTATGGAGAAAAACATCAGAAAGGAATTGATGGCATATGTGGAAACCCCCAACCTCTTAGAATAGAATAGGTTTATTGTAGCCCCCCTTGGGCACTGTCAGTCCTCTTTGAACTCAGGAAAAAAACTCAAAACAAACTCATCAATTTCAACTGCACTTTGACTTCATTTGTTT